CGGGGCTGGGTTGGGTGCCTGCCCCGAGTGGCTCTGTGCTTGTCCTGGCTCAGCCTGCGTGCCAAGCACGCCGAGAAACTGAAGTAAGAGGTGAGCTTGAGTCTTGAGATTTCTGATCCCTCAGGGGGGGCAAGGAGCAGAAGGTGACAAAAGTACTTGTGCGCGTGAGGGAGGCATTTCTGTCGGCTGTATTTGGGATATGGAGGAGCCAAAAGTCTGTGGAAGGATGAGGCTGGGGGATAGCCAACCTCCTCCACAGCTACCCCAGTAGAGGCCTTTGGGCGCTGAGCGGGGGGTGCTGCAGGCAAGAACCAGGGGGCCCCTTCCTGCCAAGTGCTAAATGTGCCCCAAACACGGGGGGCAAATTGTGTCTCGTGCACCTTCTGCTGTCATTCCCTGAGCATTTACATTAGCCTAGTTTGGCACTGCTGTGGGAAGGGGCAGCCCTTCTCCCCGGCCCCTTGCTCCCGTTCCCGAGTTCTCCCTTTCCTCTGGCCAGTAAAAGTGTTTGTGCAGCCCCAGCATGAACTGGGTTCGGGAACTGCTCTAGGGTAAGGCAAACTTGGCGGAAAGCTGTTTCGCTCTGGCTGGTGTCTTGATCCAGTACACGCTGCAGCCACGTGGGTGCTCGGACCAGCACAAAGGCTGGGAGAGCAGAGGGCAAGGAGGCACCTCCCCTCTCAGCAGCGAGGCCAGGCTTTCCTGGCTCAGAGAAGGATTGAGTAAGGTTTTGTGTGAGCGCCCAGCCCATCGGGTGCTCCTCGGAGGTACACCTGGCATCCAGGCAGGGCAGCCTTTCACCATCTCTCCCCTGCAGCAGCTCCTACAGTGCCGACATTAGCGGTGCCAAAACCTCCATGCCCCTGCACACTTGGGGGCTGAATGTCCTGCCTGGCTGCGTGTTTCCTGATGGCAGAGAGGCAGAAAGTCTCGGGGATTAGAACAGATGAATGGGAATAACCTGTGCTTTGTCTGCACTCCTCTGAAACCCCATGGTGCCTGCAGCGGCCTTGGGCTGGCATCAGTCTGGTAGCTGGAATTGGGCAGAGCCCCAGCTCCGCTCGGCTACTGCCTGCGGTTAGCAATAACTGTCGGCAAAGCGCCTGAGGGAATCGAGCCCTCAGTGAGGCGTGAAAGCATCAGGCTTCTCCTGGAGGAGTGACAGCAGACATGCAACCCTAGCTCTCCCCCTCACCCCTTCTTGGGAGGACGATGATCTTTTCTCAGCCCTCCAGGACCCCTTGCAGAGCTTGCTGTTGCCCTGCGCGGCAGTTACCCTGTGCCACCCCTTTGGAGGCGCAGGAAGGAGGTGATGGAGCCTGGCCTGGCCCTGCATGAAGCAGTCACTGCTGCTCGTCTCCCACTCCTCACGGGGCTTTCACCCTAGAGGCAAAAGAAATTCGGCAAAAAACACTTTCCTGCGTTTGGCGAGCCTAGGTTAGCTTTCACAGTGCCAGGAAGCACCTGTAGCAGACCTGTTTCGGTGTTGGTGGGGATTGGAGCTGAGCAGTGGTGTGTGGCTGGTAGCAGCGGCCTGCCGGCATCAGAGGCCCAGCCTTGTGAACCATGGCCACATTTGCTGCTGCGAGGGGCCCTTCCCATTCCCTCTGCAGCCAGAGGCGCTGCTGCATCCCGGGGAGACCCAGTGTGTGTAGCAGCTTGGGGATGGCACTGCTCTCCTCCCACACTCTTTGAAGTTCTCTGGGGCTGATGCTGGGCCCTGCTTAATGTCCCTTGTTTTGGGCCCCTCCACCACAGGTGGCGGGAGTTGCCTGTGCCAGGTGGCAGGGCTGGACTCGGCACTCGAGCTTTTCGCTTGGCTTCGGTGGCTCTTGGTTACGAGGGCGGGTTGGCCTGAAGAGAAATGGTTTGGACGCAGCGCCTGTCGTGGGGCTGGCTTTGCCAGAGCTGAGGGACCGCTTTGCTCTCTGGGGTCCCTTGCAGTTTGTGGCTATGACTCCACCTTTGTGGCTACTTGTTGCCCTGAGCATTTCTAGAACACAAACACCCCGATGATGTGGGGCGGGCAGTACAGAGCTGCCAGCGTGCTCCCTCTGACCGAGCGCTTCCCTTGGAGCTGCCTCCCCAGCCGTGCCCGAGCGGAGCTGTGGGGTCTGTGCTTGGTACACGGGTGGGGGCAGGACGGGCTGTTCCCGAGGGCGCGGCTCACCTCCTGCTGAAGGTGGCAGGCTTGGTGGAGCTGTGTTAGACCAAGATGCTTTCGGGCTCAGCTCTGTGTCCTCAGATGGGAGCAGGGCCACAGGATGAGGGAGGAGGTGTGTATCAGTGCACCGGGAGCTGCTGCAGGCTGCCGGCACCTGGGGGTGGGCAGGGTCTGTGCGGCTGGGCCCGCTCCCCCGCAGCAAAGCCCTGCAGGCAGGATAGCACTACCGGGGTCAGGGCGTGCAGCCGGGGCAGCAAGGGAGGAAGCTTTCCCAGCTCTCTGCTTTCACTGCCTCCATGGAGGCACCTCGAGCGGGACCGTTTTTAGCGGGTTGTTCCAGCTCTCCTCTATCAAAGCAGTGAACACACGAGGGCGAAACTGGAGAGTGAAACTGAGACCAGCCCTTGGGCCAGCAGCTCCCAAACCCCATAGCGGAGCTGGCTCTGCCTGGGAGGGCATGTCAAAGGGGGCAGGGGTGAGCGCCCTGCCCTCTCCCTGGAGCATGAGGAGCAGAGGTGTCCTGTTTCCAGGCCAGGCCCCGCTGGCGCTGTCTGTAAACTGGTGGGGAGATGAATGTGCAAGGTGCAGTCACGCTGGTTAAGCTCCCAGCTGGTGGGCGGAGGGGGAGGAACTCTCCTCTTGCCAGGGAGCTTGGCTCTCATCTGTCATGGGAGACTGTCCTGGGCCTGCTCCTGCTTCTCCCCTTTCTTCCTTCTTAGGGCGTTACTTGCTCCCGTTCCCGCCCTCTTACATGGGGCACTGGTTGACTGAAATAGCTGCCGCCCCGAGCCATGGGGCAAGCTGCCCCAGTTGACCCTGGAGGCTTAATTTTGTGGATGGGGGCCTCCCCGTGTCCTCACCCTCGGCTCTGCCTCTTGGTGGTGTTAGCGCTGGCGGCTCCTCTTGGCCGGTATTGCTGTAGTGGGAGCCATGAGCATGACAATTGCTTTCCAGGTTTTTAATGTGTGCCACATAGAGAAGACCCCTGGTTGTATCTTGGGAGCTCTGACAAGCCCATGCTTTTGGCAGTAAGCGTTGTAACAGCTGTGATGAGGTAGGTTTCCTCACTGAGCACTGTGTGGGGCTTCCCATAAACATCGCAGTGAAGGTCGTGTGAGGGCACTGGCCCTGGGAGGGCCTAGCGCTGGGGCAGAGAACGGATCCTGATGCTGTTGGGCCTTCACCCGCTCCTCCTGCCACGCTCGCTCTCTCCTCTCTTTAGGCCACTAGTTCCTTGCCAGAGAGTTTGACCACAGAGAGTCGCCAAGATAGCTGGGCCAGGAAGAAAACGTCGCACCCCTGACCCAGACTCCATTACCGACCCCGGTGGGCCGTTTGTGTCCTCCAAACGGCTGAAAATGTCCAGCAGCACCAATGCCCCTGGCCAGAGGAGAGTGTCTCGGGGCTTGGACGATGCCACCAACAAGAAGAAGCAGAAGGATCGAGCCAACCAGGAGAGCAAGGAAGGTGAGAGCACCTCGGCAGCGCTGCAGCAAGCAGGCCAGTGGTTTCTCAGCCCTGCAGGGTGGGAGCCTCACAGCCATCTGCTGCAGGGATAAGCAGATTTAACTAATAGCTTCCTGCAGCTGATGGTAATCCATGTGATGTGGGATCCTCTTTGGCACAGTGTCCTCTCTGGACCTGTAACCTCCTTCCTTCAGGCGCTACTCAGCCCCAGCTACGTGAGGAAGGTCGGTCCTGTGGCTTTGTTAGCTTAAGGCTGGAGTTGGCCTCAGTGGTTGTTTCTAGGCTCTGCTTTTGGCTGGGGCTGAGCTGCCCTGATCCAGAGGCAGCGGGACTGAAGCCTGCGGGTGGTCTTGCAGCTGGAGGCAGTGCTAATTCCCAATCGGTTCTCAGGGGCCAGATGCTATGAGGAGGCGACTGGGTGCTGACAGCACCTGCTGAGTGCGGGGCCCATGGGTGGGGCTGGTGCTTTAGCTTCTGTGTCAGGGCAAGGTGTGGCTCAAGTGGAATGGTTGCTGTGGAGTAATTCCCTCCGTAGCTGCTGTGTATCCGATGACAAAAACGATGCTTCAGGTGCAGGCTCTGCTGTGGGGCGGGGAATGCCTGCGGGCAGGATGCAGGCAAGAGTTCCTGCAGCCCTGGAAAATTGCTTGATTTCTGTGCCTGCTCCGTTATGACTGTTGTAACCTCAAAATCACAGGGTGTTTTATAGGGCAAGGTAAACGAGCGCTTGCTGAGGTCTGTGCTGGAATGGCTGGCTGCAGTCCCCGATGCAAAACCCCACGGTGCAGAGAGCGCAACGTTGCGCCTTCTCTCATGTGAGAGGTGTGCTGTATCTCTCCAGTAAGGCCTGACCCTCTGCACCTTCTGATGCGGGAGGCTCCTGCCTTCCTGGGGGCTGCGGTGCGGCTGTGCTGCCTCTGTCCCCTCTGTGCAGGGGTGGCGAGGGCTGGAGCAGGCTGTAGATCCTCCAGGCAGTGCCGCTGCAGCGCTTCTCACGCTGCCGGCCCCACCGGCACCTTTGCACCAGTAACTGCGGTGGTCAGCAGAGGTTTCCTACTGGTTTGTAGCTGGCCAAGGGAGGCAGTGACAGCCCTCTGAGCACTCCGGGGTGGAGACCACGGCTCCCGTTGCCACTGGTTCCTGCTCCAGGACAAGGTGCTGTCGCTTTGAGCCCCTTGCCTGGCAGAGCTCACTGCCCTGTGGGGGTGGAGCAGGCCCTGAGACTCTTCTGGCTGTTGCAGGTAGTCCTGCGGGGAGCGGAGATTAGGTGTCAGGTTGGTTTGGTTCCCCAGCCTGATCTGGAGGGAGGTTTTGCCACGGACATTGGCAGCTCGCGCAGGAATGGGAGTGTTAAAGTGCAGCTGGGCCGCATGGTGTTCTCGTTAAAGCAGAATTGGTTTGAGCACACCCAAATGTCAGGTTCTCCCTGTCAGATCAAGGCAGGACTTCTCTGTACAGCTGGAGACTGAGGGCCTGGTGCACTGAGCAGGGGCACACAGCCCGGTTACCACAAGCTCCACACTGAGACATGTCTCAAAGCAGCGCTGTGAGCGTGGTGCAGTAATATTGTGTTGCTCCCACTGTGGTGCTGGTTAGACTGGGATATGGTGGTGTGGCCCAGAGCAGCTGTCCTGGGGGCTGGCTTGCTGTGGTGCTGGAGGCAGGGCTCCAGGGAAGGGAGAGGTGTGAGGAAGCAGAGGAGGGAAATGAGCAGCACATGCAGGATGAAAACCCTGGAGAGAGGTTCAGGGGAGAAGGAGGTGATGTGTGAAATTTTGGGCATCAGCGTGCCGGCCCATGCTCTGAGGTGACAGAATGACAGACCTGCCCGCACTCTGCTTCTTTACCCACCAGTGTCTCGCCCTGAGCTTGAGCAGGCTGAGACCGCCCAGGAGAAGGACTCAGAAGAGGGTAAGTCGAGGTGTGTGCCGGCTGTCAGCGCATGGCCATGGAGTGCCCTTGCCGAGGGGTCTGAAACTCTCACCTTGTTATTGTCCCGTGCTCCGGCATGGAGCAGAACTAACCTGAGCGCTCCTTGCCACAGCATTTGTCTTAACAGGATGCAGCCTTCCCAGGGGCAGAGAAGGGTGCGCGTGGCTGGGAAGGGCTGTCTGCAGGGAAGAGGCCCTGGGCACGTGGCAGGCTGCTTCCGACTCAGGTGTCACGGTGCCACTGAGCACAGCCCTGGGACGCCTTGCCGCCAGCATCTGTCCTGCTTGTTTCTGAGCAGGGAGCCATGCTGGGCTGAGAAGATCCCAAGCCGTGTCACCCAGTGGTGCTGTTGGCTGGTTTCTGCCTTGGTCCAGGCCTGCTTTGAGGACAGAGTAGGACATCCTCGTGCCACAGAGGGTAGAACAAACCTGATTTAAATTAAGGTGATTGGAATCACCTCTTTGCCTTAAAGACCTCAGGACACCACAGGGTCAGACCTGGAGCCTGGCAGGCACCCGATGGAGGTTCTGCCTGCAGTGGAGTGACGCTGCTGCACCGTTTTCTCCCTGGGTGCAGTGTTGTTGCCCGGCTGGTGGGCCTGCCCGTGTTTCAGCCGTGTTAGCAGTGCTCACCTGGCAGGAGTACAGTGCTTTGGTGATTGCAGCTGGGCTGCTTGGTTTGCATAGGCAAAGGGGAAGTGGCAATTTCTGATTGTGATCAGAGTCCGCTTGAATCCCCCAGAGTAATTCTGTGGCTTCCTTGTTCCCTGGGAAAGCAGCAATTGCTTTGTAGTTGGCAGGAGCCACCCCTTCTTCCCAGCCGCTGCTGCTGCACATGATGGGGCCGAGAGCAGTGCTGCCTTTCTGATCTCTCTGGTTCCCACTGGGATTCACCTGCCCTGCCGCAACACGTGCTCTTGTTGGTGGTCTGTCTGATGAGAGCAGGTTGCGAGCGTTCCGTTTAATTGGCATGATCTGTGTCCCCTGCATTGACCTCCTTGAACCGAGCGTGCATTCAGGCTCGTGTTCCCCAGCCAAGGACTGGGCACTGCAGGCTCATGCCCCAGCGGGTGGGTGACACTTCCCTCCCTCTTCCTAGAGCTGCTGCTGGACTGGAAGCAGAACGCTGACGAGATCATTGTCAAGCTGAACTTGGGCAGTGGAGCTCTGAAGGTGGAGGATGTGGATGCTGCTTTCACCGACACGGACTGTGTGGTCAAACTACCAGGTATGGGGAACAGAGCGACTGCTGCAGGCGTTTCTCCAGTGGGGCCTGGCGCAGCTCTGGGCTAGACGTGGGGCTGATCCAGGCAGGCATAAAACCTTTCCTTCAGAGGCAATGCCCTGCTGTCAGCTGGCACAGCTTCGCCAGCAGGCAGGGCTGATACAAGAGCAGTGTAAAAGAAGAAGGGTGTAGAGCTGGGGAGGACAGGAGCTGGCCTCTGCGCCAAGTGAACAAGCACCCACTGCTGTGCTGGTGCATCTCTATCCCCTGCTCGCTGGGATGACTGAGTCGGCCCTGGGTATCCCTTGGAAAAGTGACTGTGCCCCTGAGGGCAGAGAGGCCCAGGGCCTTCCCTCTGGGAAGGAGGCCAGCCAGATGTACAAAGCAAATCCAGGGAAGCAGGCATTACCCTGAAGGCTCCTGGGGTGTGGTGGCAGCCTGCCTGCACCCTCCTTGGCTCTGGATGAGTGCTCCTTTGATCCTTGGGACAGGTGAAAGGGGGCTGTGGGTTAGGTGACAGCTGCCTGGAGCACTGCCTCAGGTGCCAGTCCCCCTCTGCTTGCAGATGGGCGCCAGTGGAGCTGTCAGTTCTATGAGGAGATTGAGAGCTCCTGCAGCAAGGTCCAGTGCAAGAAGGGCAACTTTCTACAGCTTGTGCTTCAGAAGAAGATCCCACTGCATACCTGGTCTTCGCTTCTGGTGAGGAGGGGAGGATCTGCCTTTTGAGGGAGCTTACGGAGCCCGGGGGAGCTGGGGTGAGGGTTTCACTCCTTGCTCTTGAGCTGCTCAGGGAGCAATGTGAGGCACATCCTGCATCCACGTGCTGCCTGAGGGCAGTGAGCCAGCTGCCTCTGTCCTGGGGAGGGGGGGTGTCATCATACCCCGTTCCTGCCTGCCACATGGTCTCCAGGTTTTGGAGCAGAGCTCTAGTGCTTTCTGGGAAGGGGGAGTGAGGGTGAGGGGCTGGCAAAGAACGTGAGAGGTGCTGCTGCCTGGATACCTTCCCACTGTGCTGCACTGCCTTTCACAGAAGAGAAGGAAAGACGGATCCAAAGAGCTGGCCAAAGGGGCCGTGTGCTGGGAGAACGGGAAGGAGAAGGCTGCTTCTGCAGAGCTGGCCCCTGAAGAGCCAAGGGCTGAAGGTGCAGAGCCGCCGAGGTCCCGGCGGGAGGCCTCCAACCCCAAGCGCGCTCCGGGAAGAAGCGAGGCCCTGGGAGGGAAAAGCCCAGCCAGCCCAGGGACACAGAGCGGCCCCAGCGCCAAGCGGGCAGTATACCTCAAAGTGGCTCCCACTGAAGAGGAGGCAAATGCCAGAGTCACTGGGAGCGTGGAGCCCAGCAAAGGGCATAGCGGGAGGGTAGGCAGCCGCCGCAATGGCAGAGCCAGCCAGATCGATGCACCCACGGCCCTTGTGGACCCCACACCGCCACTGGAGAAGGTACGCGAGGACCTGGCAGAATGGGACACCCCTGCTCCCTCAGCCCCTGCACAGGGGATGCTGCTCGCACAGGGACCCATCCCTGCCAATGAGATGCGCTCCGGGGTCCCGCGGGTGGTGCTGAGGGCTGGTGTGGGCCTGGCTGTGGTGGAGGAGAGGGTGACGTGAGGACCGCACAGTCGCTGGGCTGAGCATGTGCTCTGGTGATAACAAGGCCGAGCCGAGCACGGGATGTGTGGGGGAAGTGGGCGGCGTGGGGCTGTGCCTGCCTGGCTGGCAGGAGTCACAGCGGGTGGGCCGGGGCAGCTCGGGGGTGACGGTGTCTGTTTTTCACCATGTCCCAGCTCGGGGGTGACGGTGTCTGTTTTTCACCCTGTCCCTCTGTCTTGAAAGGCTGTGGTTTTGGCCAAGGAGACTGTTCCTGTGGAGATGCCACCTCTTGCAGCTACCACAGAGGTGTTCCCCCACCGCGTTGCCACCTGCGTGGAGAAAAGAGTCCTGCAGCCAGGCAGCTCTGCTGAGGCCTTGCGGGGCCGGGACTGCACGCCTGTCCTGGGAGAGAGCTCTAAGGCCATCCCAGCGGCCACCCCTCCCCTGGGCAGAGATGGTGAGAAGAGGGACTGGTCCAAGGATGACGTGGCTCTGGAAGCAGCAGCTGATGGTGAGTGGCTGGAGCTCAGGGTTCGGCCTGGTCGGGAAGGTCCATCTGCTCAGGACCTCTCCTGGGTCAGCCTGCAGCGCTGCCTCGGCGTGCAAGGAAGGTAATATCTCTCTCCGCGTCTTCCCTCACTCAGAGCCAGAGCCTTTTGTGAGCCTGACCTTTGTCAAGAATGACTCATACGAGAAGGGCAATGACCTGGTGGTGGTGCATGTCTACGTGAAGGAGATCCACAAGGAGACGTCCAAGGTGTTATTCCGGGAGCAGGACTTCACACTGGTGTTCCAGACGAGGTACACGTGTGCCGTGGGACAGTGCCAGGCTGCTGTGGAGCTCCTGGCTGTGGCCGGGCTGCTTGTTTGTTCACCTCTTCTCACTCGCTTCCAATTTCTTTGCAGCGACACAAACTTCCTTCGCCTCCATCCTGGCTGCGGGCCCCACACAGTGTTCCGGTGGCAGGTGAAGCTCAGGTACGGCTCCTGTCCTTCCAGCCTGCACCGGGGCAAGGGAGCTGAGAGTGCAGAGCTGGAGCAGGAGCCAGTCCTGGCTGGTGGGTCTGTGCAGGGCATACTCATTTCTGCACCTGGGGGTCTCCCTTATACCATGCTGCACTAATGCCCCAAGCCTGGGCTGGCTTGACGAGGTCTGGTGGCTCGCAGGGGAGGAAATCCCAGTGTCTCCTTACCTGCAGTCTTCCCCCAGCTGTTCTAGAGCTCTTGGGGACAGAGCCAGACCAGCCTGTGTGCACTTTGGGCGGTGATGTCCAGTGGGAGGGGGCATGTGGAGCCAAGCAGAATGAATCTGCCAGGAAAGGGGCCCTCTGTGTGCTCAGTGTGGCTAGGCTCAAGGGTTTCTGCCCTGCTTTGCCAGGGCCACCTCAGGATTGCTGCTAGCCGGGTGCCTACTGCCTGAAGGCCGTGGCCTTGCCTTGCAGAGGTTTTGGTATGTCTGAGGCTGCTGGGGGGTCTGGGGCACCCCTGACTTGCTGCGTGTCTTGCAGGAACCTTATTGAGCCGGACCAGTGCACATACAACTTCACGGTGTCTCGCATCGACGTCTGCCTGAAGAAACGCCAGAGCCAGCGCTGGGGGGGGCTGGAGGCTCCAGCCACACGAGGTCTGCACCCTGCCTTCTTGCCTTGCCTGCCTGCTGCACCCCAGTGGGCATGGGCCCTCCTTGCCGCCGGCAGCAGCCAGATGGTGCCGGATCCTCCGGCGCGGGGTTGTGAGGAAGGAGAGGGGCTGAGCGGGTGCGGGCAGGAGGGGTGTGGGACAGGGCGAGCCAAGCGCTGGGGGAAGGGCACCGCTGTTCCCCTTGCTCATGGGGAAGAGGGGTAGGAGAGAGCCTGTGTGTGAGCGTGGACCGAGCGGCTCAGCCCCGCTGTGGGCAGCGCACGGTGCTGCTAACCACAGGCCCACCCTTCCCCCTTTTTAAGGTGCAGTGGGTGGTGCAAAGGTTGCCATGCCTACAGGCCCTACCCCTCTGGACAAGAACCCCCCCGGCAGTAACCAGCACCCACTGTCCAGCAAGGAGGAGGCCCGAGCCAGTGACAAAGAGAAGCCGCGCATGGAAGATGGGGGTCTGGATGGTGTGGCAGCCCGTACGGCCCCAGAGCATGTGGCAGTGAAGCAAGAGCCGCACATCCCCTCAGTGAGTGGGGCCGCACCGGATTTGACCTGGGCGGGGGAAAGGGGGGCCCGCTTGTCCCTCTCATGGGACCCCACCTCCTCGGTGTTGCTTTGGGGACCAGCAAACTGTTCCTGGAGGAGGAGGCAGCGTTCCTCAGTCATAGCTGGCAGGATTGGGGGCAGCAGTTGGCCTGTCTATCCCAGTCCTGGTGGGAGATGGTGTGGTGGCTCCAGCCCAGCCACGTCTGAGGGGTGCCTTGGGCAGTTGGGTTCCCCCGGTGTTTCCAGAGAGACCCTCTGAGTGCAGCACCCTTACACCCGCCTCTGCTTTGGCAGCCCAAACCAACATGCATGGTGCCACCGATGACACACAGCCCGGTGAGCACTGAGAGTGTGGAGGATGATGAAGATGAGGACGAGAAGAAGAAGGTGTGCCTGCCTGGCTTCACGGGGTTGGTGAACCTGGGCAACACCTGCTTCATGAACAGCGTCATCCAGTCCCTGTCCAACACCCGGGAGCTGCGCGACTACTTCCATGGTGAGCACACACCAGGAACCCAGCAGAGCCCTGCTGCTCAGACGGTGCAGCCAGCGGCCACCCTCTCCTGCGTCTCTTACAGATCGGTCCTTTGAGTCAGAAATCAACTACAACAACCCGCTGGGGACGGGGGGACGCCTGGCCATTGGCTTTGCCATGCTGCTGCGAGCACTGTGGAAGGGCACACACCATGCCTTCCAGCCCTCTAAACTGAAGGTAGGGCTGCAGGCACCAGCGCTGCATGGGAGCTGCTGTGGGTCCCCAGCACCCCTCTGTGGGCACCTGGCTGCCCTGTTAATGCCGCTGAGAACTAGGCAGATGTGGGTGGGTGCAGCCAGGCTTTGTGCATGGGACAGGCAGTGCTGCTGGGGGGCTGCTGGCCAGCCCTGACTACTGTGCTCCCCCCCAGGCAATTGTGGCCAGCAAGGCCAGCCAGTTCACTGGCTATGCCCAGCACGATGCTCAGGAGTTCATGGCCTTCCTCCTCGATGGCCTGCACGAGGACCTCAACCGCATCCAGAACAAGCCCTACACAGAGACTGTTGACTCGGATGGGAGGCCTGATGAGGTGAGGATGTCCCTCCCCAAAGCCACTGGGAGAGCAGCCCCGGCCTGTGTGGTTTAGCGTAGTGCTGAGCCCTTTCTCCCTGCAGGTGGTAGCTGAGGAGGCTTGGCAGCGACACAAGATGAGGAATGACTCTTTCATTGTGGACCTCTTCCAGGGCCAGTACAAATCCAAGCTGGTGTGCCCGGTGTGTTCCAAGGTAGGGCGTCCCTGGAGGCTCTGTCCCTGTCCTGGCTGTGCAGCAGGCTCCTGACCCTCAGCGAGCACAGGGCAGGGCCGGATCTGAGTTCCACTGGGGCTGCTGCCCCACTGATCTCAGCCACAAGCACTTCCCACAACTGAGTGTGCTCTCGTGTCTGCAGGTGTCCATCACCTTCGACCCCTTCCTGTACCTCCCCGTTCCCCTCCCACAGAAGCAAAAGGTGCTGACTGTCTACTACTTTGCAAAGGAGCCGCACAAAAAACCCATCAAGGTAAAGGACACCATCTGCTCTGGGGGGGTAGCCTGAGGGGACTCCTGGAGGTGCCCAAGGCAGCTGGTCTTGTGCTAACGGGCTGAGCCTTGTGTTAAGCCAGGACCCACGTGTGTTGGTATGGTGTGACTGATGTGGCACGTTCTTCATGGCAGTTTCTCGTGAGTATCAGCAAGGAGAACTCCAGTGCCATGGAGGTACTTGACTCGGTGGCCCACAGCGTGCGTGTGAAACCAGAGAACCTGCGCCTGGCAGAGGTGAGAGTGCTCAAGCTGGGGAGCAAGCCATGGGCTGCTCTTGTGGGTGCCCCGGCTCCCGCAGCTCTGCAGAGAATGTGGCCACCGACAGTCACTTGCCCATGTCCAACATATCCATGGGGCAGATTTTATCTGTGGGTGGCAGTGTCCTGCACAGGGTGCTGCCAGGCAGATCCCTGCTCAGGAGGGCTGGGCCACCACAGTCGGGCAAGGGATGCCCATCCTCCCTTGGCGGGGTGGTGAGCTGAGCCCAGCATCCCTGTGGTGCTGCTGTCCCTGCAGGTCACTTGTGGGGCTGAGGTCTGTGGCTTTCTCAGGAGAGGAAGCGTGGGGCAGCCCTCCCACAGCCCCGCTCCACTGCTTTCCTGGCAGGTGATCAAAAATCGCTTCCACCGCATGTTCCTGCCGTCCAACTCACTGGATACAGTCTCCCCCACGGACCTGCTGCTCTGCTTTGAAGTGCTGTCCCCAGAGCTGGCCAAGGAGCGGGTGGTGGAGCTGCAGGTCCAGCAGGTAAGAGGGGACATTGGCACTGCCAGGAGGCACGCAGGGAGGCTGAGCCTGCAAGTGGGGCTGAGCAGGAGGGGGAGAGCTGCACGCAAGGGTGACTAGCTGCAGCAAGCGCGGGTGCCCGCCGAGGCTGCCTTGTCCTGCCCGGGTGCCCTTCCCTGCCCAACGGGTTCTTTCTCCTGCAGCGTCCGCAGGTGCCCAGCGGCCCCGTCGCCAAGTGTGCAGCCTGCCAGAAGAAGCAGCTGCCGGAGGATGAGAAGCTCAGGCGCTGCACAAGGTGTTATCGAGTCGGTTACTGCAACGTGTGAGTTGGCTTGGTGCCTGGCAGGGAGGGAGGGTCTCCTGCCTTGAAGGGATGGATGGAATTGCTCAGCCCACTGGGAGGAGGTGGGATGGCCCTGGCCTTTGGGAAGGAGCTAGTCTGGCTCGCGGTGCTCACCTTGTCCCCAGTGCACCTCTCCAGCCCTGCCACGCTCCTGCTCAGGGTGGTCGCGGATGCTGGGTTCAGCAGGGGCTGTATGTGTTACAGGGCATGTCAGAAAACACACTGGCCAGACCACAAGGCTTTGTGCCGCCCCGAGAACATTGGTTTCCCCTTCCTCATCAGCGTGCCGGAGTCCCGCCTCACCTATGCCCGCCTGGCCCAGCTGCTGGAGGGCTATGCAAGGTGAGGGTCCAGGGAGGAGGGGTGCTTCTGCCCCGGAGCTGAGCTCAGCCCTGTGCCCGTCCAGCTCTGACTGCCGCCTCCTTGCCCAGGTACTCAGTCAGCGTGTTCCAGCCTCCGTTCCAGCTGGGCCGGATGTCGCCGGAGCAGGGGCTGCAGCCTCTGCTGCCAGACAAGCTGGAGCCCCTGGCCAAGAGCAGCTGTGCAGCGGCCACCTCTGCCCCTGAGCTGGGGGACGGGGACAGAGCTTCCAGCCTCCTGCAGGAGCCCCCACTCTCGCCAGCTGTGCCTGAGCTGCACCCAGAGCTGGGGGACACCAGCACTGTTCGGAGCAAGGTCCTGGCAGCCAGGAGTTCCCTGCTGAGCTTGGATTCGGGCTTCTCTGAGCACATGGAGTCGCAGGGCGACAGCTGTTGTGAGAAGGAGCCGTCCTATGAAAGAGCCCTCAAGCCAGAAGGTAAGAGTGCTGCGGTGCTGACCGTGTCTATGCCAGGAGCCTAGGCAGCCCCAAGGAGCCCCCTGGGAGCTGTGTTTTGGCAGTGCTGCCCCACCTGAACTGCCTGCCTGCCCACGCTCTGCCTTGCCCTGGCAGAGCCCGTGGGGCAGAGCGGAGACCTGACGAGGAAAGAGGCTGGAGTGTTGTGTTGTTGTGGGAGAGGTGGGAAAGCAGGGGCTGGCAGAAGCCTCCAAGTCCCGTGGGAGGGCAGAGCCCGGCACAGGCTGAGCTCCTCGGGGCTGTGAGTGCAGCGTTTCCCTCGCTCTGACTCAGCTGCACGGGAGCAGCCTCTTGCGCTCAGCTGCCTGGCTGTCACGTTTCCAGACACTCGTCTCAGGATGGCAGCAATGTGCAGCGAAGGGGCAAGGCAGGCAGAGGAGCGCAGCTTGCCAGGGGCAGGCGCCTGCTAAAAATAGTCAAGGACATGGGGCACGTGGTTGTGTCCCTGCAAGGCCGTAGCATGTGAGGTGGGGGTGGGGGCACTGCAAATTCTTGGCCCCTACGCAGAGCAGGCAGGCAGTGCCACCACAGATCTGTCCCTGCCTGTCCACAGCTGCCATCCCTGGGTACCAACACACTCCAGACTCGCTGAGTGCCCGCGCCACGCAGTTCTACATCAACAAAATTGACGCTGCCAACCGAGAGCACAAGCTGGAAGATAAAGGTGAGCCCAGAGCCCTGGAAAGCGCCACCTTCGTCGCTTGCGGCCTCTGGCAGGGTGGTGGATCTGCCTGGCCAGGGTGCCAGAGGCTGTCTGGCACAAGGTGAACCCAGATGTGACGGTGGCTCCAGGCTGGACAGTGAAAGCTGCATCTGGCATAGGGGAGGGCAGGGCTTTGCTGCACAGAGCTGCTGCCTGGAAGCTGCTCTTGGGCATGACGTTCCTTGCTCTCCTCAGCAAATAGACCAATTCCCTTCAACCTCCTGCATCCACAGGGGGTCTGTCATCTCTGGGTCACCTCTTCTCTGAACTCTGCCCACATCCAGTGCTGGTTATGTAGGCGCTGCCGAGAGGGGCTGTGCCAGCCTTGTCCCCTGCTGGTTGGGGGGCTCTGCTGCCCTGGGGTGGTGAACCTGGCCGTGGGGCACTTGTCCCTTCCTGGCAGCACTGCGTGATCGCCATATCGAGCTGGGATGGACAAGACTGCTGCTAGCCCCGGCAAGGTGGCCTGGCCCAGCCTGGTGGGGCAGGTGTGTGAGGTGTGCGCCCCTTCGCAGGTGACACCCCCCTGGAGCTGACAGACGACTGCTCCCTTGCCCTGGTGTGGAAGAACAATGAGCGCCTCAAGGAGTTCGTGTTGGTGGAGTCCAAAGAGCTGGAGTGTGTGGAGGACCCGGGCTCGGCCAGTGAAGCAGCCCGGGCTGGCCACTTCACCCTGGAGCAGTGCCTCAACCTCTTCACCAAGCCCGAAGTCCTGGCCCCGGAGGAAGCATGGTGAGGAAGGCGACAGGGTGGGTTCCAGCCCGTGGGCCCAGGCAGCCGCGGGGGTTTCCCAGGAGCTGCCTGGGCCTGCACGCTGTTTCTTCTGGCAGCCGGGAGCATTGGGTTGGCCTTCCCTGTGCGCTGGGGAGGGAGGCCATAAGCCAGCAGGGAGCAATGCCAGTGCTCCGCAGGACTGTACTGGCCTGCCCCTGGCAGGGGAGGCTGAGACCTCCCGTGTCCCCTCTGCTAGCCCCACATGTGGGGGACCTTGGGGCTGGGCTGGGCTGCGAGACCTGAGGCTCTCCCCACGCCAGTAATGAGCATACTCTTCCCCCAGGTACTGCCCCAAGTGCAAGCAGCACCGCGAGGCCTCCAAGCAGCTGATGCTGTGGCGGCTGCCCAACGTCCTCATCATCCAGCTCAAGCGCTTCTCCTTCCGCAGCTTTATTTGGAGGGACAAGATCAACGACATGGTGGACTTCCCCGTCCGGTGAGAGCCTGGGGGACGAAGTGCCTGGGTTGGCGCTGCCTGTGCTGCTCTGCAGCCCGGCCTCTCCCTGCCTAACGCTGACTGCCCCTGACTGTCCCCATCTCTCTCCGCAGGAGCCTGGACCTAAGCAAGTTCTGCATCGGCCGGAAGGGTGAGCAGCAGCTGCCCATGTATGACCTGTACGCTGTGATCAACCACTACGGAGGCATGATTGGGGGGCACTACACAGCGTACGCCCGCCTGCCCAACGACAAGAACAGCCAGCGCAGTGACGTGGGTGAGGATCTGCCACCCTCACCGCCCCCCCCGCTCCTGCAGCCGTGGCCTGTCTGCTTGCTTAACCCTTCTCTCCTCTCAGGCTGGCGGCTTTTCGACGACAGCACAGTCACCACTGTGGATGAGAGCCAGGTGGTAACCAGATACGCGTATGTCCTCTTTTACCGCCGGAGGAACTCTCCTGTGGAGAGACCCCTGCCAGGGCACCCCCCAGACCACCGAGCCGAGCGCACCCCCTCTGCCGAAGCTGCTGCCAGCCAGGTGAGAGCTCGCGTCCCTTTCGGCACTGTTGGAGCCACGGAGCCTTGAAACGTGCCCAGGTGCCCACACTCAGGGCCCAGCCTGTCTCTGCCAGCACCCACGGAGCCTGGCGCAGCTGCAGTCTGGTGCCTGCCCCCCTTCGACACCGAAGAGCTCGTGCCGGCCGGGCGTTGGGGCTTCTCTTGCCCTGTTCTTGCTGTGAGCTTGGGACGGTCCCTGCCCTGAGGGACCACAGGAGAGCTGCTTCCCGTCATCAGGGTGGGAGGGCACTGGAGGAGGCAGGAGGGGGCCCAGCCTCACCGGGGTCTGGACCGGAGGAAGGCTGTGAGCAGTGCTGTAGGAGCTGGCTGTGCCAGCGAGCAGTGAGAACCTGCCCTGTGCAGCCGCTCTCGAGGCAGGGTGGGGGACGCTTTCTGCTGGGGCCCAGCTCGGGGCCAAGCTAGGTGCAAAAAAGGCAAATGCCAGCACTGAGCCAGGGGCCTGGCAGCTTCTGCAGGGTGCTGAAGAGAAACCTGCCAGAGCGAGCTCTGCTGCCGGGCCGCCCGGGAGGGAAGGGTGGGCCAAACGGCAGCGTGCTTTCGGCATGCACTGGCGGGGAACAGTTGGGCTGATCTTTGTGTGAATGTCAGACATGAAGGCCCAGGCTGGGGCAGGGTGCGGCGCGGCGCCCACCTGCCTGGCCAGCCCCTCGCCCCGCATCGCTGTGCTGCAGCCCTTCCCTCCGCACTCAGCACCCCCGTGGCCCCGTGGGGTCTGAGGACGATGCTCAGCTCATCTCTGGCACAGCTGCACGCCTGTGCCCCTGCGGGGCCCTTCTGGCCTGGCCCCCCGGCCC